CTGGGGCATTGCACTGAGAGAGGATCAGGAGCAAGGATGAGAGAGAGAGAGGGCGGGACGTTGTTGTTTTTCCTTAGTTCGTGAGGTCCTGGCACACTCCCCGGACATGCAAAAATCGGGCGACAATATTTTTGAAAATATTGACGCCTGATTTTGGCCAACGAATCGGGTTTGGGAGAGGTTGGTGTATCCTGTAATCGTGCCTTCCCAGCTCACTCCCAAAAGAGAGGGGGGAACAACGGCCGTCAATATTTTTGAAAATATTGACGCCTGATTTTGGCCACCGAATCGGGTTCGGAAGAGGTTGGTTAATCGTGCCTTCCCAGATCACCCCCAAAAGAGAGGGGAAAAACGGCCGTCAATATTTTTGAAAATATTGACGCCTGATTTTGGCCACCGAATCGGGTTTGGAAGAGGTTGGTTTATCCTGTAATCGCGCCTTCCCAGCTCACTCCCAAAAGAGAGGGGAAAACGGCCGTCAATATTTTTGAAAATATTGACGCCTGATTTTGGCCACCGAATCGGGTTTGGAAGAGGTTGGTTTATCCTGTGATCGTGCCTTCCCAGCTCACTCCCGAAAGAGAGGGGGAAAACGGCCGTCAATATTTTTGAAAACATTGACGCCTGATTTTGGCCACCGAATCGGTTTCGGAAGAAGTTGGTTTATCCTGTAATCGTGCCTTCCCCGCTCACTCCCAAACGAGGGGGGAAAACGGCCGTCAATATTTTTGAAAATATTGACGCCTGATGTTGGCCACCGAATCGGGTTTGGAAGAGGTTGGTTTATCATGTAATCGTGCCTTCCCAGCTCACTCCCAAAAGAGAGGGGAAAAACGGCCGTCATTTTTTTTTTTTTTTGCAAATATTGACGCCTGATTTTGGCCACCGAATGGGGCTTGGAAGAGGTTGGTTTATCCTGTAATCGTGCCTTCCCCGCTCGCTCCCAAAAGAGAGGGGGAAAACGGCCGTCAATATTTTTGAAAATATTGACGCCTGATGTTGGCCACCGAATCGGGCTTGGAAGAGGTTGGTTTATCCTGTAATCGTGCCTTCCCCGCTCACTCCCAAAAGAGAGGGGGGGGAAACGGCCGTCGATATTTTTGAAAATCTTGACGGCTGATTTTGGCCAGCGAATCGGGTCTGGAAGAGGAGAACAAGAAGAGTTCGCGGACGAGGAGAAATCGAGACGAGGATGCCGAGGAACATGGTAGGAGGGGTATTCGCAGGAGATAAGTGCAAGGAAGAGGCGGCAGACGAGCGGCGGGAGCGAGGGGAGGATGAGGAGACGACCGTAGCGGAAGGGGGGGGAGCGGGAGGAGGAGGAGGAGGAGGAGGAGGATGAGGAGGAGGAGGGGGAGGAATAAAAAGAGGAGGAGGAGGAGGAGGAGGAGGAGGAGGAGGAGGAGGAGGAGGAGGATTTTAGCTGTTTTTTTTGAAGGGGGGGGCGGCATCACAAGGGACCCGCGTGTTTTCACGCTTGCCCCGCTCGGGGGCGAGTTTTCACGCTTGTTCCGCTCAGGGGCGAAAGGGGCCCACGTGTTTTCACGCTTGTTCCGCTCTGAGGCGAAAGGAACCCACGTATTTTCACGTTTGTTCCGCTCAGGGGCGAAAGGGACCCACGTGTTTTCACGCTTGTTCCACTCTGGGGCGAAATGGGCCCACGTGTTTTCATTGCGTAAACGCACGCGGATTCGCCCCCCTGGAGAGGGCGAATCTATAGGCACATACGCAACAAAACAAGCTTTTTGCTCGAGACATCCTCGGAAAACTCTGCGGAGCAAGCGTTTCGCTCGAGACATCCTCAACGCACGAAAAAGTGGCCCGCGCCCTGTGATTTATCGATCGGGATTTCAAAAACAAGCGTTTCGCCTGAGACATCCTCGAATTTTAATCCGCCGGCCTCCTTCGACCTCGATATTTATCAGGGAAAGAATCCGCCGGCCTCCTTCAAGTTGGGCACCGGGGACATGTTTACATACTAAAAGAGAACCCTGGGCCCGCGCCCTTTCCGGGAAAAAACTGCTCTTTCTCTCCGCTGCCTTCCGCCCCCCCTTCTCGGTCCCTCCCCGGGGGTGCGAAGTTATTATTCGCGCTTCGCGCTTCGCGGTTCGGCTCCGCCTCCTCTTCGCCCTCCTCCTATTCCTTGGGTTCGGCGCGGGGGTGCGAAGTTAATCGCGCTTCGCGGAGGGCGAAGCGCGAATTTGGGAGCCCTTGGTTTGAGCTCTGAGACCCCGGGCACTTCGCGCGCGGCGAGGCGCAAGGGCAACCTTAGTCTCGGAGGGGGCGCCTCCTCGTCCTCTCTAGGCCTCTCTTTCCTCGTCCTCATCAGGCGCAATACTGCGTCGAGCTGGGCCGAGCTGCCTGTCGCGCGGCCTTCCAGCATGAGCTTGTTTTTCTTCATATCCAGGCGAGCTTACTTGCATGGCGTTCGCACCCCCCCCCCGCCCCCGCCGCCCCTCTTCAATCGAACGCGAGTGCGCAGGTGCCTTTCGACTTGCGTGTTTTCCGCGCGTCGAATTGTTTTCGGCTTGCTTCAGACCCAGCCCCCCCCCATCCATGCAAGTAAACTTGCCCGAATCCGAAGAAAATCAGGCTCCATCTCGCATCGCCGCCGCTGGTCATGGCGGCCGCGCCCAGCTCGCCGGTGTTGGAGAGCGAGGAGGAGGCGGCCGCGCCCCATGCCGGCGCCGCTGGCGGCGGCAGCGGCAGGGCCGGCCGCGGCGCCGCCCGCCGCGCCCGCCCCGGCGGCCGCCGCCGTCGCCAGGGCAAAGACGAGGAGCAGGAACCTTCTGGCCCAGTGAAGCAGTTGTCCTTGGACCAGCAGGGCGACTTGGTCGAGATGGAGGTCGACAGCGCCATCGACCCATGCTTCGTGTGCAACTTCCCCACGGAGGCTGACAACAGGGTCGAAGTCGGCAACCCCGCTGCTCCAACTCTCTTTCACAAGCCCTGCAAGTCGGCTGCCAAATACCTCGATCAGCAGGCCGATCGCCAGGACAAGATGGCGAGCAAGCACGCTGGTGAGAAGGTCACGACGGCTCAGCAGGCGCTCAAGCTTCTCAAGGAAAGGAACAAGGCGCAGTGGTCCAGGCTCGTGCTGCACCTCGTCGTCAAGGAGCAGGAGCGCAGGGGCCCTGAGCACCAGGACTTAGCGGTCAATCTCATCGAACAGGCGAGCAGCTTCGCGGAGTCTTACAAGCAGGACGGCGTCGTCATGCTGCATCAACGACCGTGGGTGTAGAACAAATTGTCGTAGGTATCCCCCTCCCTCCCTCTCCCCTCCTCCTTCCTCTCCCTCCCCACCCCCTCCTCCCTCCTCCCTCCTCGCTCCCCCCTCCTCCTCCTCCTCCTCCTCCTCCTCCTCCTCCTCCTCCTCCTCCTCGTTCTCCCTCTCCTCATCTTCCCCTGTGCCGTGCCCCCCTCAAGTTTTGGGCCCCCTTACTGAAGGGGGAGGAGGAGGGGGAGGAGGGGGAGGAGGAGGAGGAGGAGGAGGAGGAGGAGGAGTAAGTAAAACGTGAGGGGGGCACGCCCTAAATCCTCCCAGTCCCCTCCCCAGCGACCCCGAAGGAGCTTTCAAAGCCCACATGAAGCTCTTTGAAGGGTGCGACTCCGACGAAGCCTCGGAGGAGTGGGAGCAGGCGTGGAACGACCCCAGCGTGCGCCGCGAGAAGGACTCGAGAGATCGCGACACCGTGGCCGTCGCCGAGTTCAAGCGCTATCGTGTCAGGAGCGGGCACAAGAAGGAGACTCTCCTGAAGAGATCGCAGAGTGTTGCCCCTGGCGGGGTTCCCCAGGCAGAGCGCCGGGTCAAGAGCAGGACCTCCGTGGAGGACAAGTTCATCGCCGATGCTGGCCATGGCTTGCACGGCAGCGGGCACGCGGCGGCTAGCGGCTCCCGCGGCTCAGGAGATGGCATGAGTGTTTTCAGCTTCGGCAACGGCAGCGCGGACACCGCGTTCTTCGGCGACGGCGGTGCGTTCAATGTGCTGGGGGCGGCCACTCCTTGTGGGGGGGCGGCCACTCCTCCCATGGCCGCTGACGGGGCGGCCCTGGGCATCCCAGCAGTCCCGGGGACTGGCCCAGGGGTCCCAGCGGCCCCTCGCGGCGCGCAGCCTGCGGCGGCGCCGGGATTCGCAGCCACCATGAAGGAGATGACTCAGGCGAGGGAAGCCTTCAAGTCCGTGCTGCAGGATCTGATCGGCGGCCGCGAGCTCGCGCTGGGGCAGATGCCCAAGACGGGCTCGTGGGGGAAGGTGCGGGCGATGAAGGCCAAGCTGGAGGAGTTTGCGCCAGAGTTTCTCGCGAGGGTCAACTTCGACGATCGCGAGCAGAGTGCCAGGATCACGGTGCAAGCTGCCATCGAGAACCTGACCGCGCTCGAGGGCAGGGATTTCACCGTCGACTCGTACGCGGGGGCGAAGCAGAAAACGAACGATGATCTCCAGGCCGCGCAGATGCTCAACGTCACCTTCACGGACATGAAGAGCTTAGCCGATACGGCCATCCAGGAAGCCAAGAAGAGGAAGCTGTCTGATGCTGCCAAGGACCGATACAAGATGGGGAAGTTCGGGAAAAACTTTAGCGCCGCCGCAGTGCCGCCGAATACGACGAAGCATCTCGCTAACGTGGTCAAGAGCGTCGATGAGAAGAAGTTCGACAACTTCCCGGCGGAGTGCATCGACCCGGACACCGTTTGGACGGCGGAGAACATGGCAGACCCCGTACTCTTCCGGAGCGGCAAGGTGCACGCGAAGCTGCGGGAGCTCGTCGCGATCTTCCAGGGCGCGGTGGACGACAAGCACAAGGAGGTCCAGGCCAACTTGGCGAAGAAGACGAAGGGCGGCAACATGAAGATGCTGACGTGCTCGCAGAAGGTGATCGACGCGCTCAACGATGTCGAGTTTGATGTGGTGCCATGCCCGGATAAGCTGTGGGGCGATACGTGGGTTGCTCCTTTCATGATCGGCGTCGTGGGTTACTCGCTCCGCTCGACGGCGAAGGCGACGCGGAGGAGGAGGAGGAGGAGGAGGAGGAGGAGGGGGAGGGTGGGGGGGGAAGGAGGAGGAGGGGGGATGGGGGAGGAGGAGGAGGAGAGGAGGGAGGAGGAGGAGGGAGGAGGGGGAGGAGGGGGAGGAGGGGAGGAGGAGGGGGAGTAAGGGGGTTCGGTAACCAAAAACCGTCGACGGTTTTTTCCAGAGAAGGAGGATGAGAAGGGAGGAGGACGAGAGGAGAGGAAAAGTAGGAAGTGGGAGATGAAAGGAGTGAAAACGAGGGGGGAAGGAGGATGATGATGATGAGGAGGAGGAGGAGGACGAGGTGGAGGAGGAGGAGGAGGAGGAGGAGGAGGAGGAGGAGGTGGAGGGGGAGGAGACGCGCGCTCTCAGGGAGGAGGAGGGCGGAGACGCGCGCCCTAGGAGGGAAGGGGGAGGAGGAGGAGGAGGAGGAGGAGTGAGGAGGAGGAGGTGGAGGAGGAGGAGGGGGAGGAGGAGGAGGGGGAGGAGGAGGGAGGAGGAGGACGAGGAGGAGTAGGAGGAGGAGGAGGAGGAGGAGCGGAGGAGGAGGAGGGAGAGGGAGAGGAAGAGGAAAAGGAGGAAGAGGAAAAGGAGGAGGAGGAGGAGGCGGAGGTGGAGGAGGAGGAGGAGGAGGAGGTGGAGCTGGAAGCGGAGGGGGAGGAGCCGGAGGAGGTGGGGGCGGAGGCGGAGGGGGTGGGGGCCCGCCCCGCTCTTGGATTCGTATGTTGGTTTTCGGAGGTTTTCGTGCTGGGCGAGCTCGCGTCTGTTTGCGGAGGCGATCGGGCGTTGTTCGGGAGGCGCTCCAGCAGCTGCGCCTCGTCGAGAGCGTTCCCGGGTGCTTGGATCGCCCCGAAAAGCCGCCATAGGCCCGAGGCGACCCGAAAAAAAACACCAGGAGGGGGAGGAGGAAGAGGTTGGACGATTTTGCGGGTAGGATGGGAACGTTTGCCCTGCTTGTCAAGCTCTTCTGATGTCGATACTCCACCTTATTTTGCCGTCGCTGTTTCCTCCATGTTTGTGCGAACAGATTCTCCCCCGTGTATTGAGGCGGGGATTTCTCTTTTTGTCGCGTCCTCTGGGCTGCATTTCCGACGCACTCTTCAGTCGGATAATCAACCAACGTACGACGGATCTGGAGTCAGGGTAGCCCCGGACATACTTTGGCGAGAGGCCCCCCACCTATCCTCCTCCCCTCCTCCCCTCAGCCTCTCTCCTCCTCCCTCTACTCCGCTAATTCTCCTACTCCTACTCTACTAACCTACCCTACTCCTACTACTCCTACTGCTCCTCCTCCTTCTCCTCTACTTCCTCCTGCTCCTCTCCTGCTGTCTTTCCTCCCCTCCTCCTCCTCCTCCTCCTCCTCCTCCTCCTCCTCCTCCCCCCAGGTCCTGGAACCGCGCACCTTCTCCACCTCCTCCTCCTCCTCCTCCTCCTCCTCGTGCGTCAGCTTTGTGCGCAGGCGTCGCAATTGCCGTTCGGCGGCGTTGGGTTCTTGATCACGCCCGTCGAGAATCCGGTCATCGTGTGCATGGCGATGGGGTCCACGGCCTCCGACCCCATCGACGACGACAAGTTCGAGTCCGATGCGAAGGTGCGGGAGCTGTCGACGTGGGCCCAGTTGGAGAAGGGCGACCTGGCGTGGGTGCCGTACGGGTGCTACGCCTTCTTCACCACTTTGAAGGAGAACGCCCAGGTGCTGCAGCTGCCCTACGTGTCGAAGGATCTCGCGGGGAGCGTTCGCGGGGTCGGCCTCGGCCCCTTCATCAACCACCTGCGCAAGAATAGTTCGGAGAAGCCTTGGTCTAAGATCGGCCCGTTGTTTTCGTCTTGGGCGACCGAGTGCGTCGGCGAGGAGACGGTGGATAATATTGCGAAGCAGGCGAAGCCAGTGCCCGGGGCCGCCGAGGCCACGGCAGAGCCTCAGGCGAAGCCCGATGCTGGCGAGGCGGCCGCGGCCGCGTAGTCGAGGCGGGGCCTTCGCCCGTCGACCCAGTCGCAGCGTCTAGACGGGGCGGGGGCGGCGGGGGGGGGGGAGATCATGGCCGGGGGAGGGGAAGGGGGAATGTATGGGGAATGGAAGGGATGAGTGAGGACAGTGGACAAGGGCGAGGGAAGCGAGTGCGATTGGAGACGGATGGGGGGAAGTTGGAGGTAGGAGAGGCGGTGGCGACTATGAGGGCAGTGAGGGCAGGGCGTGCGGTCACGAGGAGGGGGCGGTCACGGCACGACGAGAATTGCGACGGGGCTTTTAGGGGCGCGCAGCGGCCGGCCTGCACTGGGCGGGGCCTTAGTGGGGCGAGACGCTGTTTTTCGCGTACGACGTTCTTTGGATGCGGTGAGAGCTCGGAGATGTTGAAAACATGTGGAACAAAACAATGGGACATGCAATGCGATGTTGGCTGATGGCCTTCGACCTGGCGCCCTGGGCCTTTTCGGATGTCCCTCCCCTCCCCTTCGCCCATTCCGCCCCTCCTCTCTTTCTCTCTCTCTCTCTCTCTCTCTCTCTCTCTCTCTCTCTCTCTCTCTCTCTCTCTCTATCCTCCCCCTCTTTGTCGTCGTCCTCCTCGTTCCACTCCCCCCCGGTCACTGCCCCCGCGCTTCCCCCGCTGCCCCTTCCCCTTTTCTCGTCCTCCTTCGCCACCTCCTCCCGTTCCTTGTCCTCCTCCTCTTCCTCCTCCTTCTCCTCCGCCCCCTCCTCCTCCTCCCCCTCCTCTTCCTTGTTTCCCTCCTCTTTCCCTTTCTCCGAAGCCCCTCCCCCCCTATCCCCCTCCTACCATTATCGATATGTCGCGCCAGCGTTGCGAAGTAGTGCCAAGCGGGAGCGCATCGTCGGCAATGTCCGCGCTCGCTGCGGATTTCCAGGAGGGCCCCCCTGGAGCATTCTTGGGCCGTCTTGGGGCGTATTGAGGCTGTCTTGACAGGTTCTCGGGCTCTTAGGCAGCGTTTTACAATTGGGTCGGGCGCCGCGCGTTTTGCGATATATTGTGGCGTCTGGAGCGCGGGCCCTATTTTTGGTTATGAGTGTTTGTGGCTTCTGGAGCGCGGGCCCTGCGTCTCTTACGAGGGTTCGCGGCCTCGGGGGCGCGGGCCCTATGCTTTTGGGCAAGGACTCCTGGCCGACATTGCGAGGGCGTCTCGAGCGAGAGCGAACTTTGATTGGTTGGTTCTTCGGGCGCCTGGCTGATTGGAGGGATGGCGAGAGACCGAGCCGCAACTTCGGCGCGAGACGCAACTTCGACGAGGGGTTGGCGATTCGCAACTTCGCCGAAGAGAAGCTAATGCCACAAACAGAGATACAGGCGATAAACAGGCGAGACGCAGCGAACATACGGGTTGCACATGGTAAAATCGCATGAAAGATGTATGCATGAAGCATTACAATTGCAGGTATTTGGGTGGCACACGCGAAGTTCTGGTAAACCTAAGGGGGCTGCTCTACCCTGCCTCCTGGTCGCAACCCACGGGCTGATCACTTCAACCAGCGCTCGTCTCTCGACAGACAGCTGACCAAGCAGGCTCCAGACCAGGACATTCGAAGACTTACCATGTGTTCGCATTCCACATTCTTTGTGAGCGTGCGAACGAATGGAACCAAAACTTGTGGGTTGCAGCGCTCGGCTTTACACAGGCTTTTGACACTGTCGAACTTAAGAGCATATAGGCAGCACTCAAGGCGCAAGGTGTTGAGCCAGGAAACATTTTCGCTACCCCAACAGTTGTGTGAGGGACTGGCAGCCACAGTAAAGACGGACGTGGCCAGCAGGCCGTTCAGCCTCTCACGGGGCACGAAACAAGGCGACCCGCTCAGCTCCCTCCTCTTTTAACGCTCTTCTACAACACATCCTCGACCCGCTGATCACCGAATGACGCGAGATGGACAAGGGAGTCCAGCTGGGGCTTACCACCGCCACCACACTCGCCAACCTTCGCTGCGCCGACGACGTGCTCCTGACCAGCCAGACGCTCCCGCGCCTCACTGCGATGCTAGAAGAAGTCGTGCGCGCGGCGCAGCCGCGCGGACTCGAGCTGTACCCTTCCCAAACCAAGATGTTGAGCAACCAGACGAGACGGACTGGCAGAGCGAGCTTGCGCATGTCACGCGTTCAGCGGACGGACATCTATATTTTGCCACACGAGCGCAGCATCGAATATTTCGGTCACCTCATCAGCTCCCACGACGCGATGGAGACATATATCTTCCACCGCACGAGAGCCGCGTGGGCATCATTCACCTCGCGGAAACTGGAACGCACTAGCAAGTATTTCCCGCTGGCACACCGACTCCGATTTTTCTCCAGCGCAGTAACCCCGACTGCATTCTACGGGGCAGGGTCATGGACTCTCACAGAACCTCTCCGACAACACCTGCAGCGGACACAGAGACGCATGCTCCATATGTTAATCAACGCGCCTACGCGACTTAGCACCCGTCGAGCAGATCCTCGCAGCAGCCAAGAGACCAAGGCTGCCGACAGCATGAGCGACGAAGCTCTGGGCAGCGATCTCTGCACCGACTGCTCCAGCGACGACGCGGACAGCAACCCGCCACCACCAGACGCAGCTGCAATTCCAGACAAGCACAGCGACTGCGACGACGTCACCACCAATGCGAACATGACGCGGACATGGAGCCTTGGGTCGAATCTATACAAAGGTCTGCACGGCGTGCAGAACGCAACGTGCGACATTTTCGGAGCGACAGCTGGCCGACGACGCGCAAACAGAAGTCATGGCGCATGGCTTCGCGGGTCGCCAACCACGAGCGCACGTGATGGACGCGGAGAACGCTGCACTTGCATCCAGGCGAGAACGTGAAACAGTACTGGAAGCGACGCAACGGCGGCCAACGGAAATTGTGTGATGTAGACAAGCTCGTGCCTCCAGCAGAACATGCCCGACTCATTTCCAACGGCCACGCCAACCGCCGCCAAAGGACAGCCCAGCGACCTCACCTGGGTCCAGTCGGCGCAGGAAGTCTCCAACTGGTC